TGTAACTTCTTCTTCTCTGCGCTGTGGTAACCTACGAACCCTATTGTAATCAACTGCAAAGGGGTGTTGAAAATCGCCAACATTTGGTCCCAAAACCGAGCATTGTTTGCCTACTCCACCACAGCTCAGGGTCCCACATTTTGAAAACGACACTGCTCAAGATCCCGAAGCTTAGCTGGGGAATTCCATCACGGTCTCGGTGTAACCCTGACTTAGCTCTTTCCGATCGCCATGCCTAAACTAATCCCATAGCGGCCATCTTCTGGGTAAAAAAATACGATTTTTGATAGTACCTCAAAAATGACCCAGCTGCCTTTCTGGGCACAGAACTAAGAGGCTTCTGGAAGCAGGGCAACCAAACCTTGCATAGTGATTGGCAAAGTTGCCAATGAGGGTGACATATATATAGTTGATCAAAATTGCTTCCCACTGGAATAAACTTAACTCGAAAAAAATGTTCGAAAGTTCCACGAACTTCTGGGACAACCTAATATAAACGGGATCGGGGGTCTGCGCCGCAAGTTGGCATTTTTGGGCGGAGCGAGGAATTAGCCTTTCCCACGGTCCTGGATCCCCATCCCCGCGCATGTTCGGACGGGGAAACCGCTACGCTTCGACAGCTGGGGGCTCATTAGCCCCGGGTAAGTCCAAGCATGTACGAGCGTACGTTTGTCTTTGAGGAAAAACGCAAACCGATGGAGCCGCAGGCACCGGCGAAAAAACGGTGCTGTGGCTCAGGGGCATCTGCATATCAGCTGTCATCGTGTATGCTTGCGTTTAAAGGTCAAACTACCGTTGGCATCAAAATTTTCGGCGAAATATATTCCTAAAAATTGTCCCTTCCGAGAAAAAGGCGTTGAAGGGAATACAGCGGCAGAAGCATGAAGCGAAAAGAGTGAAGAAAGAACGAAATATGGGTCACGGGTCAGTCTCTCAGCGGCCCCTAGTTGCAACTTTGCTGGGCACTCGGAACCATTGCAACTTTGCTGGGCACTCGGAACCAACCTTACATATTTATTAGGTTGGAAAAGAAGTCCTGCGACACGTTGACTAATTTTCAGGACTAAATATTCTTTTACTAGAAGACCCCTCCAATCTACAAGGTGATCACTATCAATCACTAGAACTAGTGCCCACCTTTTGCACAGCTTCCCACTCTTAAGGGACTGCGCCAACTACGATAGAAGAGGTGGACCTCATTTTCGAATAGACGTCGATTTTCGGAATTTTTGCTTTCTAAAGGATGCGGTAGGGATCAAAGGAGGTGGTAATTAGAGGCTGCTAACTTTGCAAATAAGCTGGGTACGTCACATTCCCTAATCGGGATCCACAATTCGATCGAAGTGCCGCGGGATTTTCTCTCCAATCATAGAATCAGCTCTCAGAGGACAAAAATGGCAGTAACTCGCAAAAAGAGCTTACTCTATCGACTTCTTCTGCTTTTAGCTGTTGCTCACGACGAATTTCTTCAGCGGTGAGGTCGAAAAAATCTGCAGGTAACCGCGGCATTGGGATGCGCTCATTCTCACCGACACGGTAGATCTTTAACGAAGCATTGAGTAAACAGTAAATGACTAAAAATCAAAAAGATCTAGAACTGACGGTGGACGCCTACAATGATAGCTGATACTAACCGTTGTTTCACGTGACACCTTAATTGGGACGCTCTGTCCATCCTGTAGCATTGACAAAGCGGTGACTAGACGTCCTGTATCACTAGCGCTGTTTTCGGAAATAACAAGGAATAATTCAGGAGCGTCTCCTTCTTTGAACGGTTCCATTGACTCTTTGAATCCAACAGCATTCAGAAACTGTACTCCACCCTTCACGCTAGCCACTCGTTCCTAAATTTGCTTGACAGTCATGAAAGGGTCTTGCAAGGTTAGAGTGGACTACTATTTTGCTCGGCTGGTTTGTTTGAAGAAAAAGACACATTCTATAGTGGTTCCAACGTCAAAAGCTCAATGTGCGTCCACAAGTGGGTGTTCCCTCTATTAGGCTGCGTTCATAGGTGCGTCAGCGTTTCGAGCGCTTCCAGCGTACGCCAGCGGTGTGCCAGCGACTGCCTGCGAAAAGTTGGGAACTACGCGCCAAATGCTCAAAACGCTGGCGCACGTTTGGAACGCTAGATAATTGTCTATACTTTACAGTCGCTCAAAACGTTGCCGTACGCTCTAAAGGCTGGCGAAAATGAACCCTTACAGTTGAGCTAACGAATCATGAGACTGCCGCTCAAGCAAGTGCAAAAGACATTTGGGGGAAAAATGTCATCTGCTCGATTACAAAGATTCAAGTAGCGTCCATACGGGTTACTCCGCTATCTGAGTGCATCGCCTCCAGCTAGCATTTGTTACTAAATTATTATAGTGTCGCTCTAATGCATTTCCACTGAAACTAAACTGGCATTGAACAATAACGATTATTCAGTAGGGCGCAAGTGGCTCACAAAAGAATTTAGGCGTGAGGTTCAGTGCATTGCAATAGTCGACCACGGACTCGCACCATATTCGACGCGCGTTACCTGAAAAAAGCGTTTCATCTCCGCTACTCTACGACGAAACCTACGTTTTGTCTTTCACGCAACAACACGACGGAATGCTGCTGTAACAGAAGCGTGAACTATTTCAGGGTATAATGCACTGCAGGAAGTCGAACTAAACTATTGTTGGGAAAAAGCAGACCTTTTTCTGTCAAAAAATTGAAATTCTCATTAAGCTGAGAGGAAGAATGACAGTTTTCGTTCTGTTCAGAAACTAAGGTTTCCATGATTTTTTTCCTGCTATAGTCTAATCTTATTCCACTGGTAATCAGAGCACCAATCGTCCTTGTAACCAGAAGTTCGAAGTTGAAATCAGGCTCAACTATTGTTGCTGGAAACGCGAAAACCATAAAATGGCACTATTCAACTATTACTACCCCAAAAAGACAAAAAATTTTCTTTTGGTGAAACCTCGCCCACAGAGATAGTTCAGTGTCCTAATCACGAATATAGCACTCGTTTTGGGCGCTGGCGCCCAATTGGCGCCAGTTTGGCGCCGCCACCTTTCCCACCAAATTCGGTGTGAATTTGCATGGTATGGGACATTCACTCCAGCGTCATTTAACACTTTCTAGGGCTGAGCGTGTGAGAAAGAGTTTTCCTTTAGGTCAGGCCAGCCATACCAGAGCGCAGACAATCACAGCGTCTTCCATCAGCGCCAGCGCCAAAAATGAATGTGATATATGCAATCAAGATGTTAAATGGTCTTCTTATACAAGTTTTCAGCGGATTTAGTGACCTAGGGTTTTGGCGCTGGCGCTGAAATACCCTAGGTCAGGCCAAGTGGGTGTGATGTTCGTGTTCAGGTCGAATTACCTCTAGAATCCAACTCTCAGCCAAATCTGCCCACGTAGAAAATAAGTTGATTAAGATCCGGCCTGTTCTTGGAAAATGGGTTTGTTTTCCAGGTAGAGCGCGTCGAATATGGTGTGAGTCCGCAGCCGACTATCGCAATGCATTCAACCTCACGCCTAAATTCTTTTGTGAGCCACTTGCGCCCTACTGAAAAATCGTTATTGTCTGGCATTGATGGTAACTTCCCAAAAAGAAACAACGTTGTAATGCGTTTCGTTTCGACAGGATCGTCGTCCTCAAAGGCCTAAGCATAGCTCAAGGTTTAGATGTTGCACCCTCTACACCGCCAAACGCACCCAAACGCACTCTTTACACCTAGCTGGAGGCGATGCACTCAAAATAACGGAGTAACTCGTTTGGACGCTACTTGAACCTTAACTGAGCAGATATCATTTTTCCCTGATTGTCCTTTGCACTTGCTCAGCTCAACTGTACGGCCGTTCATTTTCGTCAGCGTTTGAAGCGTACGGCAGCGTTTTGTGCGACTGCTAAACTATATAGCGTTCCAAAGGTGCACCAGCGTTTTGAGCGTTTGATGCGTAGTTCCGTACTTTCAAAAACGTCGAAACGTCAGGCCATGTTCAATAAAGTCTTCCACCTACCAACCTCTTTGGCAGAATACATTACAACTTGAAAGTTCACAATAATGCCGAGGTTTTATGAGAAGCTGGGCACTCTTGTAAGAGTTATTTCTCCTGCTGTGCTAGCGGTACTATTTTTTCCTGAGTAAGTACATTTTCTATAATGAAATCAATAGCAGAAGCCGAGAATGTATAGCCGAGCAAAAAGTGATGGATCCATTAATCACTCAACACAGCCTGGCAAATCATATGAGCGAGAGAATAAAAGCGCAGAGGAGCACCCCACCAGCTGTGCAGGAGCATTATGAAATCGTTCGCGTGGGCCAGAAACATCCGCAAGAAGCTTCGTTTAGTACGCAATGCTGAATCAGCTTTTATTGACCCATGTGCGATTTAGTGAAACCAAAGCATATGCCACGCATTACGTGCAGATATCTATGATGTCTCACTAGTTTCCTGTTCGTCACTGTACCGAGCTGGAGTGCTGCTAGACCAGCACAAGGTGATTTTCTTCATTTAGACAGTCGTGGCGAAACTGATCAACCACAAAGCTCAATTTGCTGAGAAGGTTAGAAATAGAGATCTAGATGTTCGAAGTAAGTTTTCGTTCTCGCACATGTATATAGCCGAGCAAAGAAAAATTGCGAACTACAAGTAACAAACGTACCTGGAAGACTTTATTGGACATTCTTATCCTTCTGTATTTCGCTTCTCCAGGATTTTCGATAATATTTTGTAGATACTTTCCAATGGTTTCTACAGCGACCTACACACTGACGATGAGATGCACATATACATTCATTCAAGCAGTTCAATTAAGTGGGAAAGCTTACCTCTCTGGCTGGCTTTTTATTCAAAGAATAGAGAAGGAGAACAGCAGGGACGACCGCGTCCTCATCCTCACAATGTAACTGAGACATGAGGAATTCTTCAAGGGCTTGCATTAACTATAATGAAGCCTTTTTGTGACTACAGAAAAGAAGAAAAAAAGTTGGTGTAACGCACTTCAGGCTTGGTCATTGCTTCATCATCGCCGAGTAATTCGCAAGTGAAGTACACTCCTTTTATCACATCTGCATGCTCGAATTCTCGTATGTCTGGACCACTCCTGAATACGAAACTTACGGCTATAAACATAAAATATGCATCGCCACATGTTTTGTAGATCCACGATCATAACGCGTAGTATCCTGATTTGATCAGGAATCAAACCCGCACAGCTTTATTTTTAGGCCTTTGACAGAACGCGCGTACGAGTGCACTTGTGGAAAGTTTTGTCCTGTGTTTTATGACCACAACAAAAGCACACACAGACAACAAACTCAGGCATGCCTATCTGCGTAGTTCAAGAAGGTTGACATGCTCAACATATAGTATCGTTACCCCAAATTCCACAGTTTTCATATGAGATTGGTATCATGTAGTACCCGAAACTTGGCAGGATTCAAAGTTAATTAGTTTTGCTAATTTACGGGTACGGCTGTGAGGATTATCTTTGATGAAGTCACCCCGACTAATTCGAAAACAAGCTGATATCTACTTGCCCAAGCTACAATTCTGCAATTCACCAAGTCAAACTTTGACTGTGTCGTAAGAAAAACAGTTAGGGCTTCGCTAGTAAAGCTGCGGAGGGCAGTCAAAATAGGTGAGCATTTCATTTTTTAAGGTGCGCAAAAAACTTTGCGAGCTACGTGCATCTTCCTTTTTACCTTTGCTTACCTCTTCTCCTCTAACTTAAGATTTGATACATCGGGCTGTTGTTGTTGCTGTTGTCGTCGTCTCTCTTCTTCAAGTTCGCGCTGCGCCTGAACTGAGAACTATTGAGTGAATGAGTCACGAACGAGAGGAAAGAGCCATGGCTACGGTAGGCTCAGCGTACTACTGAACTGGTAAAGCTCTAGATGAAAGTGCGTAGAGAAACTGAGGCACGAACTGTACATAAGCAGTAACTGCTGCCTTTCTAATGTAAGGGAAACAGATTCAGCATCGGTGCATCTTACTCTATACATCTACAGTTCCGGGCTAGAATAGGCATAGCAACTGGAAAGATGAGAAAATCACCCTGACCCTGGAAGACCATCAACAGAAGGCGGATTGGGCGATAATTATTAGGTTGTCCGGAAAGTTCTCAGCGTTTTGGGTGTTTCACTTTAAACGATCGTAACTTTTTTAATACTCATCGGATTTAATCGAAATAGGCACCATTCGAATCAGCACACTTTTGCCAATGTGACAGCAGTCGAGAAATCCACGAAGGCTTTTTTGCCTGGTCCTGATTGATGAAGTAT